ACTCAATAGAAATGCATAACCAAAATGCTCTTGGCAATATTTCGAGCCTACATTATTAATTCCCGACACAATTATTGATGTAATTGCATACAGTGCGCACTACAGAAATAATTCCGAAACCAATTAAAGCTGTACTGTAACCAAAAAATCAAATACAATCGAGTCGTCTGTAACGTCTCCGTCCTGTCTGTCTGTGTTGCTGTCTTGTATGTGTCATTGTCTGCTCTGTACGTGTCGAGTCCGTAACTCGTTACTGTCTGTCTTGTCTCTCTCATTGTCTACTTTTCTTCTCTCTCTTTCTTTTAATTTCTTGGTTTTTTTTTTTTTTCTCTCTCTCTCTCTCTCTCTCTCTACATACATGTATGCAAATTTGATGCAGGACGGAGGAGGGCGAGCAAGGAAAAAGGAAAGAAGGCAGAGGGTGGAGTAAAGAGGGCAGAGTGAAAAGTGTTCACGCATGCGCCCTGGTGTGAATGCATGCTTGCGTGTATGCGAGCACGCACATGTCCATCCACGTATGCATGCACCCAAGCGTGTGTGTATATGTATAGATACACACATACACAGATAATGGATAAGTATGCTCCTTGTGTGCTCTTCGATGGTCGCCCTGGTAGAGTCGTACCTACACGTGCGCCATTTGCAACCCAACGCAGAGTTACGGTCAGAAACTTTGGGATGGCGCGTCGCTCCGCCGGTTCTGGCCCACCGCGCCTCGGCGCGATACGTCATCCACTTCGCGGCCCCGGGGCCTCAACGTCTCGATCCTTTCGAGGCATCCCGCCCCGCGGAGCGGGGCGACATGCTATCCGCTTGCAGGGGGTGGCGTGTCGCCGGGGCCGCCGCGGCGACACGCCACACGACAGTGCCCGACCGCAGGGCGCCCCACGTGCGGCCCGTCGGCTCCGCGGCCGCGCGCCCGCAACCCGCCAGCCTCGCCTCGACCCATGTCGGCGGTGCGCCGCCCTGTGAGTGGCGGGATGGTGACCTCAGACCAGCGCCGTGGTGCGTGGCAGTCGCTTCTGCCCTGGCTCTGGTCCGGGTTGGGCCAGCACGGTGGCCGGCCACACGGGGAGTGACCTTTCGCCGGAGTGGCCTTCGGTGCAGTTCCAGTGTTGCCCCCCGGATAGCTGGGCTGCGATGCGACAGCAGCGGCTTGCGCGCCTGGTGGTGTCCCCAAAGGCACCCCCCTTGGGCCGCGCACCAAAAGTCACCGTTGCCAGGGTCACTCTTGCTTGCAGCCGGGGGCTGACGGAAAGGCGGGGGGCACCGCGCGCGCTCTGCGTGTCCCTGGAGAGATCGCGCGGCGTCCTCGCCCCCCACCGCGGATCTAGCGCGTTGGCCAGCGAGCGCGGCAAGAGCTCGATTCGATTGCAGAGGAGCAGGCGAACCACGGTTCCCACTTCAGAGGAGCAGGCCCGCATCGACACGGGCACCTCGGAGCCGGTGCCCCATCCAGCGATGTAACACAGAAGCGTCCGGGGCTTCTCGGTCCCCTCACCAGGTTGGGCATTTCTGCGGCGATCTATTTGTTCTGCGCTGGCTGGATCTAGTCGGGGCGCCTGGGGCAGCAGACCCACTGGCGCATGGCTACCGACCGTCCTCCCAAGCTCAGCTCGACAAGTCTCGCTGCCCTCGAGAGGTTCTGGTTCCAGCAGACGGGTCCTGATGTTTCAGGGGATGTGCGTGGAGTGGCCGCTGACCACGGACAGATCCTGGCAGGAGGCGCGCGTGAGCGCACTGAACAGGGCAGCCGCGAGCTGACGACGCACGCCCGCAACCCCCAGCACCCGTGGGGCGGAGTCTGTCGATAACTCCCACCCGAGGCTTTGAGCGGGACGGGATCTAGGAGGGCGAACGGTCTTGGTACCGTGGGCAGTCGGCCGGCTGATGAGCCTAGCGCGGCAGGGCCCGGCGTGGTGACCAGCGACGCGACTGGGAGGCCGTCGATGGGGCGTATGTGTTCCTCGCCTCCGATTCCCAAGAGGCTTCCGAGCAGTGGCCGTGTTGGAGACAAGATCGCTCCGACGGCCACGAGGTGAATGCGTCAGAACACTGCTCTTCCGCCCACCTCCTCCTCTTTCTCACGTTGTCCACCCTTGCTCAGCCCACATCCTCAACATTCCGCCTGAACCTTTCTCATCGGATAAGGATGACTTGGACTGTGAGGGTGAGGAGTGTGCGGGGGGAGGAAGGGGGAGTTACGATGAGGGGGATGGGGAGCGCGAGGATGAGGAGCAGGAGGAGGAGGAGGAGGAGGAGGAGGAGGAGGAGGAGGAGGAGGAGGAGGGGAATCCAATACGAAGGATGATGCTGACAAGAACGAGGAGGAGCCGAATCTAGCAATTTTAATATTGACAATAATTATGCGACGAAGAACACCCACCATCGCCTCCATCTCTCTGCTCAGTTTTCAGAGTGGACGCAGCACCACCCACACACATTTCATGCTACATATGAATATGGAGCATACACACACGTATATATATATATATATATATATATATATATATATATTCATATTTATATATATACATGCACCTACATATAGATAAATATATACACAAGTGTACGTAAGCATGCATACAATTCTGGTGTGGTCGTGCAGCCATGGGCCCTTACGTGATGCGCTTCCGTGCGGCTTGATGGGATGCAGTGTGCGTCGTCGTGTGGTTGCTACGGCTTGAGTAGTGTGCGTGCGTGGACACGTGTGCACTTGCGCATGCGAGTATCGTTGCATGCGACACAGAGTTTTTCAGAAAGAGGGCCCCAGAGGGTGACACAGACACAGCAGCCGTTGACGCTAATACGGCTCGCTGGGGTCACGGCCACCACACCCGCTTGGAGTAGGGTTCGGATGTGAGTGTGAAGTGCCGAGGCGGTAATCATTGCCGTGCGGCTTCTGCTTGTGATTGTGCGGAGTGGAGAGCGGCAGCCCTTCCCAAACGAGGAAGCTATCCAGAGGGGCGCGCGGTGGGGATGGCTCTGGAAGCCTGGAGCGGGTTCTGAACGGAGATTCGGCCTGCTTATCGACCGCGGCTCGTGGCGACGACAGCTCCATGCGGGTGGCAGTGCCGTCCCAGGCGGCCATCTGAGGGTCTCGGCTCTCGCAAAAAATAGTGTACGAACGTGTTATCTGCGGGGCCGACCTGAGCTGGGACGACGGCTGCCTTCAGCTCCTCTGACTGGACTTCGCACCTGAAGCATCGGCCACCCCTGGTTGGCCCGCGGGGGCCCCGAAAGCCGTGTGTTGGTGCACCTTCCCTCTCCCGCGGGCCGCCCCGCTCCCTCTGGCGGCCGAAGACGAGGACATCTGCTGGGCTTTCGCCCTCTACCTGGAGTCCGTCGCGGTGCTCTGCCAGTTTTGGATGTTCATGAACCAGGCGCGGGGGCCCCTCTGCCACCTTCTCCACCCCACCACCAGAATGCACCCGCACCCGCCGCTTCAGAATCTTGCCCTGGGATCTCGAGGAGCTCTCGAGGAGCAAACATGCCTCTGGGGGCCGCCGCCGCCGCTGCCGCCGCCGCCGCTGACGCCGCCGCCGCTGCCGCCGCCGCCGCTGCCGCCGCCGCCACTGCCGCCGCCGCTGCCGCCGCCGCTGCCGCTGCTGCCGCCGCCGATGGCCCCGCTCCGGCCGCGGCCCGCGGCTCCAGGGGAAGGCGCGCCCGCACATCACTCACTTCCTGGCCGCCCAGGCGCCGGGCCCGCGCGCCGCTGGAGGGAGGGAGGGCACTCGACGAGCGAGGGGGGGCGAATGTGGCGGTGCTCGTGGGAGCGGGGTCTGTGTGGAGCGGCGCTGGTCCAAGAGGTCCGCGTGGGCCTCCTGGGAGTTTCTGTTCGTGCCGTTCTTTGTTCCTCTCCCTCGGTCTCCCCTCCCTCGCCTCTCAGTGTCGTCTAACAGATCCCCATCCCCACTGGGCCGCGCATCTCAGCCCACCATCTGAACCCCTCAGTTGGGGATAGGTCCCTCGAAACCCGAAAGGAACCGCGTATATCTCCATCTAGGGGTGTAAATCGGCACGTGGGGCCACAGGCATGCCAGTGTGGATGGGGATTGATGAAACGATGCTCAGCCTCCAGTCCCGTGCCCACCCTTCTGGTCCCGTCCGCCAGCCTGTGCTTGCGATCACACCTGCGGGGCCGCCAGAGCCCTGTGGGCGGGGCAGCAGTTGGGCCTCTGCTGGATGTCCAGCGTTGCCGCTTGCGGCGTGGGGCGAGGCCAGCGGTTGCGCACCGTTGGTCTCTATCGGGAAGCTGGACACGCGTGACATGGCAGGCCCGGGCTTCGGTAGCAACTCCTGGGAGCCTTGCATGCTCTCGCAATTCCGTCTTTAGACTGCGCTAGCGTGGGTTAGCGTCGATTTAGCGTCGATTCGATTAGCGTCGATCAGCGTCGATTTAGCGTCGACTAGCGTCGATTAGCCTCTGTATAGCGTCGATTAGCGTCGACTAGCGTGGGATAGCGTCGATTCGCAAGAGCCAGCCAGATGGCATGCAAGGCTCCCATGAGCTGCCACCGACCCGGGCGAGAGAGCTGTGTGCGCGTGTTGCCGCACATCCTTCCACGGTCGGCCGCGCACGCTGGCCTCTCGCATGTGGGCGTGTCCAGCGCGTGGGCTTCTCGTGCTCCGCGTGTGGAGTTGGCGGTGCATACTGCTTCTTCGAGGGAGGCCGCATTTCAGGCGCCCAGGGCTGATCTTTCTCCTTGGCCGCTCGACTTCCGGCCTTCAGTGGCCCCCCTGGGCCCTGGCCCCGGGGAACTATGCACGCCCGCATCCAGAAGATGGTCTCCGCAATCATGCTGGGTCGAGCGTTCGGCCGAATCCGTAGCATCGCGCATGCCGTCTGAATAGTGTGCCGGACGGTCCGTCGCTCGATGGCGTCTGTGTACCTCTGCGGTGTGTTCGCCGTGCTGAGCGGTCTCGTGATGGCCGTTGGCATGAACATCTTGGCGTGTGCGAGACACAAGAAGAAGACGGCATGCACGGGATGCCTGCACATGGCCACCAACTTGGTTTTGCAGTTGGCCGCCGTCGGGCTCTTTCTTCAGGCTTGTGCGTGGGGTCCCGTGGCTCTCGCGATGCCCCTGGAGACGGCGACGCTTCTTCTCTCGAATCTGGCGCTGCAGGTGCTTCTTGAGATCGGGCACTTCGATAAGGCATGCTTGGTAGGGACCTTAGTCCTCACGTGCGCAGCCTGCTGCTTGGGGGATGTTGGCCCCGAGGACACCACCCCTGCAGAAGCGTGTAACGCGACAGCTTGGAATCGGCTGCTGACGACCCCAGCGATATCATGGATGATATTCGTCTTCTTTCTTGCCGTCATCTCTCTTGTAGTGATGAGGACCTGCCAGCACAATGTATTCTATAACACGATTGGTTATTCGCTCTTCGTGGCGATTGCTACGGCCGTTGGTGCAGCGGTTGGGAAGTTTCTCACTTTTACTACTGGCTCGCTGTTTGGCGTCTTCTTCGTCGTCTACTTATTTTGTGGTGTCGGTTCACTTCTTTTCGGGGCTTTTGCAGCACGGGAGTGCGACCTTGTGTTTTTCATGGCTTCGAACGAGTGTTTCAAACTTATCATCACCGCTTTCACCGGGCGCTTTGTTTGGCACGACACGCCGCGCTACTGGTTGTCCTATGTTATGGTGTACACATTGATGTGTTTAGGTGCTTATCCAAGACGCCTACGGCGAATCACCGCCGCCCCCTGTCTTTCTGGAGGCGCATATGTGGTCGACCGTTGAGGCCAGACCTGCCAAGCCATCGGACCATGTGTTCCCCGAATCGGTTTGGAAAGCCTTCGGGGAACACGTGGGCATCTTGAAGGTTATCTTGGCCGTCTTGGAGGCCTCTTGGGCGATCTTTCGGCGATCTTTGGGGGCTCTTGGGCCGTCTCGGGCCGTCGGAAGGCCGAAAAGAAGGAAATGCCCAAATCCGTCAAAAACCTTAAGAAAATCACGGTTTTTTGGCCTCTTCTGGCCTTCCTGGAGGCCCTCTTGGGGCCTCTTGGGCCGTCTTGGGCCAGCTTCGAGCCAACGTCGGCCATCTTGGTGGGTTCCTGGCACGTCTGACGCCGTCGGGAGCCGTCTTGGGGGCCTTCCTGGGCCGACTGGGGGCCCTCTTGGGGTGCTTCGGGGCCGTCTTGGAGGCCATCTTGGGCGTCTTGGAGGCCATCTTGGGCGTGTTGGAGGCCTCTTGGGCCGTCTTTGGGCCCTCTTGGGGCCGTCTTGGAGGCCACTTAGGCCGTCATGGGGCCCTCTTGGTGGCCTCTTGGGCCATCTTGGGGGCCTCTTGGGCCGTCTTGAGCCGTCGGAATGCCGAGAAGAAGCAAATTCCAAAATCCTTCAAACACCTAAGGAAAATCTGATTTTGGCCTCTTCGGACCCTCCTGGGGGACCTCTTGGAGGCCTCTTGGGCCGTCTTGGAGGCCTCTGGGGGGCCTCTTGGGCCGTCTTGGGCCGGCTTGGACTCTCTTGGGCCGTCTTGGAGGCCGTCTTGGACCATCTTGGGCGGACTTGGAGGCCATCTTGGGCCATCTTCGCGATTTTTTGAGGATGTCCCGAGCGAAACGGCCGTTTTTGGGCATCGACGGACGCGCTCTACGGGTGGCCGGCGGGACGTGCCGGAGCCCCAGGGGGAGTTCTTTTGGAAAAAGAACCGAAACCAAAACCGAGAGGATTCAGCACGCCGGGCACCCCTTTGCTAAAGCAAAAGGGGGCGGCGGATTCAGGTGCCTGCGGCAAGGTTCGCCACCGTGCCAGCGCAGTGTATTCTGTGCGCTCCTCTTCCCCAGGTCTAGAACTCGCTTGTGTCTGTCCTCCGTGCCTCTTCCCTCGTTGGTCAGCCGTATTAGTTTTTGTGCACAGCCCTCCTGTGTTGGGTCCTCGTTTTGAGTAGAGCCCTGCTGTTCCCCCTCTCTTTCCTGTCTCCTCTTCTCCTCGCCCTCTCTTCGCTCCATCCTCGCTTCCTGCTTGCCTCCTCTTCGCTTCCTCCTCGCTTCCTCTCCCTCTTCCTCCATGGGTGTCGGTTGCCCGGCGCGCAGCCGTCGCCGCTTTGCAGCGCCGCCGGGCCACAGCCAGATCTCGCTTCTTCTCCGGGGTTGCCAACCGCGCAGCTGTCGCTACATGCTTGAGCTCCTGGGGTCTCCTGCGGAGCGGGGCGCTGCGCAGGCCCAGGGGAGAGAGAGAGAGAGAGAGAGGGAGCTCGCCTCCCCGGGTGCTGCCACAGGATGAGATGTCGTCACGTCCGTGAGCTCCTGGGAGGTCAAGCGGGGTGTGGTGCTGCGTAGAGCAAACGAGACGTGGCGAACGAGACCTCGCCCTCGTTGCACAATTGTCGCTGCTTATATGAGCTCCTGAGGGGTCCAGCGGAGGGCAGTGCTACACAGATCCAGACGAGACCCCGGCCCCCTTGGGTGGTGTCAATTGAGCAATCTTCGCTCGCTTTTGTGCCCTCCTGGGGGTTCTAGCGGGGTGCGGTGCTACGCAGATCCAACCGAGACTTTGGCCATCTTGGGCGCTGCCAGCTGCGCGGTTGTCTTATGTGAGCTTCTTTGGGGTTCAGCGTGGTGCCGTCCTACGCAGATTGAAATGGGTCCTTGGCCTCCTTTGGTGCTGCCCGCCGCGCAATTGTCGCCACTTGTGTGAACTCCTGGAGGATCACGCAGAGTGCGGTGCTGCGCACACCCGAACGAGATGTCGCCTCTTTGTGTGCTGCCGACCGTGCCGCTTTGGGTTTTGCCAGCCTCGCAACTGTCACCCCTGCTCCTGGAGAGTACAGCAGAGTGCGGCGCAACGCGGATCCGAGCCAATCTCGCCTTTTTTTTCCATGCGGCGAACTGCGCAACCGTGGCCGCTCTCGTGAGCTCTCGGGTGGAGCGCCGCGCTGCGCGTGCCGAGTGCGACATCGCCCCCTTTGGCTGCCGCCAATTTCGCAGCTATCGCCACGTCCGTGGGTCCCTCTGTAAGAACGGTTTTTTGAAGGCAGATTTGCCTTCAATAAGAACGGTTTTCTGAAGGCAGATCTGCCTTCAAAAAATGGTCTACTCTGCAAGAACGGTTTTTTGAAGGCAGATCTGCCCTCAAAGAACCGTCCTTACAATGAAGGCAGATCTGCCTTCAAAAAACCGCTCTTACGGAGCTGCCCGGCGCGGGGGCGGTCCACACGCGGACCCCCACGAGGCCTCGCCCTCCCGGGGTGCTGCCAGCCGCGCCGCCGTCGCCACGCTCGCGAGGCTCCGCCGGCGGGGGGCGCCCTCGTCGGGCCCGACGAGTCGGCGGTTCAAAGATGGGGGTCCCGAGGGATGGGGCCCTCTAGGCCGAGGTGCCTCAAACAGCGTAGATCCACCCTATCCTATCCTATCCTATCCTTCCTATCCTTAGGTCCTCATCCCTATCCTTAGGTCCTCATCCCTATCCTATCCTATCCTATCCCTCCTATCCTATCCTACCCTATCCTCAAACACGTGGATCCCTTCCTATCCTCAGGTCCCCATCCCTCGGGCCTCCATCTTTGAACCACCGACGCGAGATCTCGCCTTTTGGGCGCTGCCTGGTGCGCCACTGTCTCCACTGGCGTGCGTCTCTGGGAGGTTCAGCGGGCCCATGAGCGGGCCCACCCCACGGTCTTGCCATGTGACTGACGTGGGTGGTATACGTTCTTGGGTAGCTGTGACCCTGGGGATCTCTTGGGGC